TTAAACAAATGAATTGGTACATGAGTTAAAGGTGCAGATGTTGATTGCGAGTTCAGTCATTAATGGTTAGTTTTCATGAGAAGAGGTTGAATTTTGTAAATTTTTCATTTCCACTTTAAAAATATTTTGCTAGTTGCATTATTATTCTTGTGATTATAAAATCCTGGATTAATTTCATCTCTGAAGGTACTCGATCAAAACGGGAGCTTATTAGCCAGCTTATCCGAAACAAATTCCTCGAAAGGTAGGTTCGAACTCATACTACAAGAGGACGGCAATCTTGTTCTCTACACAATAAATTACCCAATGACGGACGCAATCTTCGCGTATTGGTCCACACAGACTACTATCGGCTCTGGGTATCAATTAATCTTCGACCAATCAGGATACATCTACGTGACAGCTAAAAACGGGACAATGCTCTACATAATCTTCTCAAACAAGTTCCCGAACAAGTATTTTCGGCAGAGGATGACTCTGGATCACGACGGAGTCCTGAGGCGCTACGTGTATCCGAGGTTTGCTAATCTCACCCGTGGTTGGCCCATGAAATGGTCGGTTGATGATTTTCAGCCCACCAACATATGCCTTCGAGTTGGTGGGACGAGAGGTGGTGGGGTCTGCGGATATAACAGCTTGTGCACGTTAGGAAAATATGGGAGCCCGAGTTGTAGCTGCCCGGAGAAGGGATACTCTGCGGTGGACCCCACCGAAAGGATGGGTGGGTGTAAGCAGGATTTTGGGGATGGGAGTTTTGGGTATGTTGATGTGGCGAATGCGGATTGGCCGGGATCGGAGTACGAGTGGTATGGTTCGGTGAGTGAGGAGTGGTGCCGGGAGTCGTGCCTGGCGGACGTTTATTGTGTGGCTGCGGTTGTTAGGAGTGGGGGTTGTTGGAAGATGGGGCTTCCTTTAAGGAATGGGAGGGTTAACGAGAGCATTGGCGGGAAGTCATTGCTCAAAGTACGGCTATAGACTTATGGGGGTGTTAAACAAGGAGTTTTTTTTACTTTGTGTTTTTTATGATGAATGTATGAGATGAGACGTTTTTATGTTTGTGGCGTTTGAAATTGTGTTTTAGTTGATCAGATTCTGATGTCCGGTTTTGATATGCGAATTGACTCTAGATCGGGTTTTAAACGGCAAACAACCACGGACTGTCGTTCGTCTTAAACTCTGGTGACATGCAAAATATGTCGGGGAGGGGTTCCGAGGGAAAATCTTGATCGATCAAGTCGTATCTCGCTCGTAAATATGCTAAAAGTTGCATGTTAAATGCGTAATATGGGTTAACTTAAAATAGGACCTGGTAGCCTCCTTTTTTATGGAGATTATCTTCCTGTGTAAGTAGTCTACTTACTAGGAAAAACATCATGCCGTATCTCCTTTTCTAGTAAATACGTTTTTGAGATCTTAGACTGCCTAGCAAGAAATACTTGTCATCATTATTAGGATTATATTCCTTCTCCGGACAGGTCGTCAGAAGACGACCACGTGACCCATCTGCAGAAGGCGCTTATCAGGTCGAAATTATGACCTCCACCTGTACGACATCAAGACTTAATGGGTCCCCAAAATGGGGAATAAACATAATCTAAGTCATCTTCAGTATTATGGATAGTCGTTCTAAACTTCACTCTCTTATACTTTTTCATAACAAAATACTCAAAGAAGTTTATAGTTAACTGAGGGGATTCATTTAGGATTTTGAGTAACATTTTGTAAATTTTTAAAATACAAGAGTTTTAAGATTTCGTGAGTTAACAGGAATCATTTGAAATCTCGTATTGGGAGGTGAAATTTGGAGTTATTTGGTGTTTGTATTTTGCCTTTGAATCTCAATAAATTTTAAATGGTGTAGACAAATTAAAGTAATAAATAAATTGAATATCTCATGATTTTTCTTTAAAAAAAAAAATTGAAATCCCAATTAATTAGTTCATGACTTTTTAAGTCTTGTTGAAATCTTAAATGAATCCTCATAAGTTTTTAAAATTTCTTAAAAGGAATACAGCAGGATTCATTAAATCTCAAAAAAGTTTTTGAAAATTCGTAATAAATACACCCAAAACTCGAAATTTTTCTTATGCATATGCAAGAAGAATATTCTAACAATTTTCAATAGCATATATTTTTTTGATATTATAAAATTTTAACTATTATTTGTAGACTCAACTCTGCTATTGGAAATATATTTTATCTTATTTTAATTTATCGTTTTTATATACTTTTTTAACTCAAAATTCAATTCAAATTTAATCTAGATTAACTCTCCTCAATATTATCAATATAATAAAATGATATCTATCAATTATTATCACACATTACATCAACATTAATATATATTCATCTATCACATATTTTTAATTACACACCACTTCCAAGTTCCAATCACCCATGACTCTTACTTTACATCAATTCAATTTTAATTACTATATTTAAAATATTAATTTAAACATGAACTTAAAATCTTCACTCAATTAACTTTGTTGAAAAATAACTCACTTTATTCAATAAATAAAAGACGATCAAAAATATTTTATTTCCAATTTAAAATATGCCTTTCTATTTATTGGAAAAATTCAAATTGAACACAATCAGAAAACCCAACAATTCGACGATCAGTTTTAAGTATCACATTTTAACCCCACCAATAATATATATTACACAATATTAGTCGGGGAAATTCCATTAGAAGACTCAACTTTTTTATATTGTATCAATTTAAGGCTTGAATTTTGTTCTTTTTCTATAGAAGACCTATATTTTAGGTTATTCTCAATTTAAGACTCACTTTTTAGTTAACTTTCCATTGTAAGGCCCAATTAACTTTATATTTGATATAAATATGTGAACCAATTAACTTTATTTTATAATATAGTTATGTGAACAAAAATAAATTTTTATTTAGCCTATATTTTACATACTTATAATAAATATCTTTAGTAATATTTACTTAATAATAAAGCGAAACTATGTAAATTGTATTTATGCAAAAGTTTAATCATCAATAATTTAAAAAAAATGATAAGTGAATTAAATAAATATGTAATGGAAATATTATTTTTATTAATAATATAAATATGTAATAAAACTAAAAAATAATATATAAATACAATTTACAAAAATATATCATTTTCAACAAGCAATAACATAGTATCAACTTTTGCTTCAAAAAAGAAAAGTTAAAAATTAATTTTTATTAATATAATTTTACTAAAAGATATTTATTATTTTTTAGGGTTAATTGCAAATAAAATCTTAACCTTTTGTCTAATTGCAAATAAAACTCAACTTTTCAATTTGAAAAAAAAAATATCAAACCTTTAATAAGTGTTGTAATTGTGTCTCAATCATCTTCTGCCGCCGCCAACCGCCAGCCAACTTCGCCGAAGGTTGAAAATTTACATGATCTTGTAGCTCTCCTTCGTGCCGACAACATATCCAAGTTTCACGAAAAATTTCCGACGATAAGGAGATGACCGAAAAAGTTGTCACTAGAAAAAGTCACCGATTCCGGCGAAGGTGGACGTCACTAGATGCGGCTTTGCGAGAGGAGTTCAACGGTACCTTCGAATTCACGTGGGTCAAAGCGAGTCACCGGAAATTTACGAAAGAACGCTGGAGAAAATTTGTAGATCTACGAGCTTTGACCGGAAAATTGGAAGCTTTATTGTCAGAAATTTTTCGTGAAACTCGGATATGTTGTCGGCACGGAGGAGAGCTACAAGATCATGTAAAAATTTTCAACATTCGGCGAAGTTGGCCGGCGGCGGCGGAAGGTGATTGAGACACAATTGCAACACTTATTAAAGGTTTTGGTATTTTTTTGCCAAATTGAAAAAGTTGAGTTTTATTTGCAATTAGACAAAAGGTTAAGATTTTATTTGCAATTTACCCTATTTTTTATTATAAGTATGCAAAATATAAATTACAAAATAATAATAATAATAATACTTTTATTCGCATAATAGTTGTTTTACATATTTATATGAAAAATTAAATTTAGTTGGGTCTTATAATGAAAAGTTAACTTAAATATATGTCTTAAAGTGAGAATAACCTAAAATATAAGCTTTCCGTTGAAAAGGTATAAAATTTAGGTCTTAGATTAATACAATTACTAAAAATTAGCCTTCCAATAGAATTTCTAATAATAAATAAAAGACAATCAAACATATTTTATTTCCAATTTAAAATATGCCTTTCTATTTATTGGAGAAACTCAAATTGAACACAATCAGAAAACCCAACAATCCGATGATCAGCCTTAAATATCACATTTTAACCCCATCAATAATACTCCCTCCTATTTTTATTATTTGTTATTCTAGCTTAATTGATCATTTGTTAAATAAATGTCGTTTTGTCTATTTTGTACATATTTTTCTATTATTACCCTCATCTAACTAATAATAAATATACTACGTTCTTTTCATATTTACTCTCCATCTTTTCTCAAAACATCCATCTCCATACTCATTAATGAGGGTTATTATTGATAAAAAAATATTCTTAATTATTGTGTAACTTCTCAAAACGATATTTATTAAAAATAGGAGACAATATTAGCCACCCATGACTCCACCTTGGTGGCCAGTTCCGTGTTTTGACCCTTCACTCCACACAAAAGGCGTCGCGACTTATCTTCATCGTTGGGCGTTTACAGTTCTCAACGTTTTTGACTTAAAATCGCATTTCGCCAGTGCCACTTTTACATGGTTGGATATGAACAAACATTTGCCCTCGCAGTCGCAGGCCAGGCAGGCCTCTCTCTTTCCCTCTCTATCTCGCCCGTGGGCACAATCATACAGAATCCCTTACCACAAAAGCAACTGCTAAGAGAAGACGAATACATTCCCCCTAGTTTATGATCCTTTGTACATTTAATTTGATTAGCCCTATTTTTCTTTTCCTTATTTATGATTTCCTGATATTCCGATCTACTTTTGCGGGCGGAACATCAGAACTCAATCTCAAATGGCTGTGCTGGACGATATAGGTGTCGATATCAGGTTCGATCACGATCCTCGATTAAAAATTGTAGAAATTTAATACTCAATTGTTCTTTGCGTTAATTTTTTGTGGAACTTGTTTATGAATGCTTTGCATATCAGGAGAAGATTTTTCATTTACTTTCTCCCTCGTCCTATTTGCTAGTTATATNAACGTGTCTTTTGATCCCATTGTCCATTGGTGTCTGATTCTGTAAATCATGGGACCCCTATGATATAATGTCTAACTTTACAGAACGTCTCGTTCCTCTTTGATCCAATTTCTATTAATAAAACTTGTTAAATTTCAGTTCGGATTTAGAAGTAGAAGAGGAAAACGATGTGAGCGATGAGGAAATTGAGGCAGAAGATCTCGAGAAGCGCATGTGGAAGGACCGCGTGAAGCTCAAGAGGATCAAAGAGCGCCAGAAGCTGGCCGCCACCCAGCTAGCAATCTCCGGGAAGCAGAAGGCCCAATCCACCACAGACCAGGCCCGCCGCAAGAAGATGGCCCGGGCCCAAGATGGCATCCTCAAGTACATGCTAAAGCTGATGGAGGTGTGTCGGGCCCGCGGGTTCGTCTATGGCATCATCCCTGAAAAGGGCAAGCCCGTAAGTGGCGCCTCGGACAACATCCGGGCCTGGTGGAAGGAGAAGGTCAAGTTCGACAAGAACGGGCCAGCCGCCATTTCCCTCCATGAAGCCGCTAGCGGCGGTGGCCCTGGAAATTCCAAAAACGCCCTTCAGGACTTGCAAGACTCCACTTTGGGCTCCCTTTTGTCGTCCCTGATGCAGCACTGTGACCCGCCACAGAGGAAATACCCGCTAGAGAAGGGTATCCCACCCCCCTGGTGGCCCAGGGGGGATGAGGAGTGGTGGACCAAGCTTGGGCTTCAGATGGGCCTGAGCCCACCGTACAAGAAGCCCCATGATCTTAAGAAGATGTGGAAGGTTGGGGTGTTGACTGCCGTCATCAAGCACATGTCACCCAATATTGCAAAAATCAGGAGGTTAATTAGGCAGTCAAAGTGTTTGCAGGATAAGATGACGGCTAAGGAGAGCTCGATTTGGCTTGGCGTGTTGAGCCGGGAGGAGGGCTCGATCAGCGAGAATGGCTCGTCCGGCGTGAGTGAGGTGGCGCCCCCGAGAGATAAGAAGAGGTTGTCGGTTGAGAGTGACAGCGACTATGATGTCGACGGCTTTGATAAAGGCTCGGGATCGGTTTCGTCTAGTAAACGGGCAAAGGACAAGAAACGTGAAGGCGAGCAGCCGAGAAAAAGGAAACATGCGAAATTGAACCCTAACGATCGATCGGGAGTTCCGCCTCTTGAAACGGGTAATGACCGGACACAATTTGTCGAGTGTTCGATGAACGAGAACCAGTTGGAAATGGGAAATAATAACATTAACGGGCAAACTTGTTCTGTAGAAACTACCGCGAATGTTGTGTCCTCTCAAAACGAGCGATTGCATCATACTGCCGCTCAAAGTGGTTCAGTTGTGATTAATTCGACTCAAGATTCTCAGTTGCAGATCAGACCTCATCTTTCTAATCAGCCGGAGAAAACTCATAGTCTGTTGCATCACAATCTTCAAATGTGGCCACGAGATTCAAATCTACCTCAGGAGCTGAATTATCAATATTATAATCCAGTGGCTGAAGTTGGTCCGAGTCATCAACTGCCTCAACCTGAGCCGGAATTGAATGATATGCAGTACAGGGCTGAGGAACCGGGATTTAATCTGCCTTTATTGCCCGCAACAGAAAATGATATTTCTCAAGGGGTTTTCCCGCAATTTTCGAAAGATGCACCTGTCGTTGTTGACACTCAGTTCCCGTCCCCACTCAATGCCTTGTCGCCCGAGTTACCAGGGTACAGCCCGTTTAGCCTTCAATTTGACGGGACAAGCTCATTGGACACAGGTGACTTTGACTTTGTCGTGGATGATAATGCGGTCGATGATAATAACTTTGCTGAGTTGATGAAGTACTTTGCATCATGAGGGATCACAGCGAATATCTGGGTGATTTTTTTACTGGGTAAGTTGTTATTATGTTCTACTCAATGATGTGTTAGGTGTTACTGTGATGAGTAGAAAGCAGGGGAGGAAGAAAAGAGAGTAATTGGGTAATTTGGTGACTAGTTGGATGGGAAATGTGTTGTGAACTTGAATTTGTTGTTCTGAAGATGTTAGCTCGATTAGGATTGTATCCATAATGTTTATTTCGGCAACAGGCAATGGCTTGACATCTGAACTTTTACTTGGTGATATTGTGCATCCATGAATGTTACATGTAATGATGTAGATGAGTTGAATGGAATAAGAGACGGACGCCAGGATGTTATTTGTTGGCATAAAAATTTGCTGTAGGCTGCATCTTCATTGTATGTATGTTTTTTTTTACCAAAAAAATGGAAGGAAGGAAAAATGGAAAAAAATTTGTTAGTGTATGAATTATGTTAAAATTAATGCTTCATTTATAAAAATAACCCACAAGCCGACCTTTGGAAAAGTCTAGTAATATGATAGTGCTTAGTGTTTGAACAATTGACAGTTCCAAAACTAAATTTATTTTAGATACTTTATTTACAGTTGGAGTTGGATAATTAGATGGGTGAAACTACATGTATTCAATCCAAATATTATCTCTACAACGACCACTTTCTGAAATATCCACCAAATTCTAATTTCTAACATATTTATGTTCCTTGCCTAGGCCTAGGGAATATCATTGATAAGTATATGTGGATATTGTTAGATCTATTTTGGGATTAAACATGTGTAATTGATACATTGGGTCATTATATTGTTTAGCCAAATTAAGTGATCAAATTACTGTACATTGGTTAAAGAACTTAATTTAGATTGTGGAATGATTAAATGTGGACACCCGGTAATATTATTATTTGGTGACGTAACAAATAATAATATTACACTTAAGGACCTAATTAGCAAATAATTTAGGTCAAAATAATTAATGGGTGGAGTCCCCAAAAGCCGTGAAAATACAAAGGGGCCCTTGGGAGTCTTTATTAGGTTTACGAAAGAAACCGTCGCCCCACTACGTTCTTCATACAGTTTTCTCTTACGTCAGAGGAGAAGAGATCTGGTTCACGGCCTTTTGGAAGAACTCCAAATCCAATCCCAAAATCCCAATTCAATTCCAGTGAGATCAATTAACATGAATCCATCAGGTACGCTTCCGCTCTTCGGTATGATTCTCGATTGTTCAATATGAATGCTCCTGGGATTAAATCGATTTATTTCGAATAAAGATAAATCCAATTCTATCAATTGGTATCATAGCATCTTCATATTGAATTTTGGGGAATCAATTTCATTGGAATCCGTGAAATCCAGTTTTTATGCTGTGAAATAATTCGCGTGCAGTTTCGTTAGGATACATGTTTCGGTTTTTGTTTAATGTGTTTCCAATTTTTGGAGAATCCATCAGTTTACGTAATTTGAGTGCATTCAGGCTCCAACTCTCATATTCAGATTATTGGGTCAATTGTTTAATATGTGGAATTCGGAATTCTGATTATGGTGGCCCTCAAATAATGAATTATTCATTCAATTGGATAGATATATTGTTCTGCCTTGAAATGATTTAATTGGATTCAACATGATTGTGATTTATTTATTTCTGGAAACACTTGAAGTCAAATACTAGACCTTTGATTAATATTTCTTTGGTTGATTTGGAATCTGAGCATGATTTATTTGCTCTGACATTGAATCTGATTATTTGATCTGAAATTAAAATTGGACTCTTGAACAAAATAAAATTCCTGCATTCCGAATACATATAAGTTTGCAGGTTTTGGCAATTAGCCTGGGTCTGGTTGTTAAATATTTTAGGACCCATTTAAAGGCCGCTCGCCGATATTGAGTTAAATATTCGGCAATTCAAGATTAATTTAAATGGATTAATTGAAATAAAATGTTGTCAAAGTGACCTCTTTTATGTAGATTAACCCATTTAAATACTAAAGTTTGTTGTATTTTGTAATTCATGCGTGTGTTGATTAACCCAAAGGTGAACTGACACATGGCCGAATTGCAAACATACCTGTGTTAATAAATTTGTGACAATTATACGGTTTTCATGTGAATAATAATTCTATCCAAAGATAGTTTTATTGTTTGACAGAATTTATTGTCAAGATTTGATTATTACAACAAGAGTACCGCTTACAATTAATATTACTATCCAAAGATTTGATATTAATGTTGTGCTTGGTATCTTACTATGGGTTTAAACCATTTTTGGTTTAATTGATTAACTATGGATAATAATGTGAGTATCTTTGTTTATTATTTTCTTCAGGTTCTTCATCTATGGTATCTACTAACTATCCAGTCTCCACTTTATTTGGGGACAACTTTAAGAACTGGAAAGAATCAATTTTGATTCATTTGGGCTGTATGGATCTAGACTTGGCATTAAGGATAGACCAACCTGCTTCTCTTACGGAGAACAGCACTACTGAGGAAAAACAGTGCTTTGAGAAGTGGGAAAGGTCTAATCGCCTAAGTCTTATGATCATAAAGAAAAGCATTCCAGAAATCTTTCGAGGAACGATATCTGATGATATCACTCTGGCTAAAGAGCTCCTTGTCGAGATTGAAAAGCGCTTTACTAAAAGCGATAAGGCGGAAATGAGTACTCTTTTAAAGACACTCATTACCATGAGGTATCTCGGCAAAGGCAACATAAGGGAGTACATCCTCAAGATGTCCAATATTGCTTCTAAGTTGAGAGCACTAAAGTTAGACCTTTCGGAGGACATGCTTGTCCTATTGGTCCTGCTCTCTCTTCCTACTCAATACGATCAGTTTAAGGTCAGTTACAACTGCCAAAAGGAGAAGTGGACTCTTAATGAGCTCATTTCTCACTGTGTTGAGGAAGAAGAAAGAATGAAGCATAATTGGGCTGAGGAGGTGCATGTGATTGGTACCTCAAAAGATGCTGGTGGCTTTAAAAGGAAGCATAAGGCCGTTAAGGTTGAGACTGCTAAGGGTCCAGATCTAAAGGTTAAACCGGAGGAGATTTTGTGCTTCTTCTGCAAGAAACCTGGACATTTAAAGAAAGATTGTGCTAAGTACTCCGCCTGGTGCGTGAAGAAAGGTACATTCTTTAATCTGGTTTGTTCTGAAGTTAATTTAGCTTCAGTACCTCGAAACACTTGGTGGTTAGACTCTGGTTCAACTACTAATATCAGTGTTTCAATGCAGGGTTGCCTAAGCCACGAACAATTGATGCTGAAAGACGCATTTACTTTGGAAATGGGGAGTCGGTGGATGTGGAAGCTGTGGGCATATTTAAATTATTGTTAAGTACTGGACATTTTGTTGAATTGAAAGACACATTTGTTATACCGTATTTTAGACGGAATTTGGTTTCTGTTTCTTATTTGGACAAATCTGGTTATTATTGTTCATTTGGAAACAATAAGGTTGTGTTATCTTTTAATTCTGATGTGGTTGGTTTCGGTACTTTTATAGAAAATGATAATTTATATATGCTCAACACTATAACTTCCTATAATGAAACCCTGAATGTGGAATCAAGAGGTACTAAGCAAAAATTAAATGAATCAAGTGTGCTTTGGCATAAACGTTTGGGACATATTTCGAGAAATAGAGTTGAAAGACTCATTAAGGATGGAATTCTTGATTCTATTAATTTCTCGGATTTTGATGTTTGTGTCAATTGCATTAAAGGTAAACAAACCAAAGTAAAGAGGATAGGTGCTTATCGAGCTACGGAAGTCTTAGAGTTGATACATACGGATATTTGTGGGCCATTTCCTACACCTTCCTGGAATGGTCAACAATACTTTGTATCATTCATAGACGATTATTCTCGATATGGTTATCTATACCTCATAAGGGAAAAATCTGAGGCATTGGACATGTTTAAAGAATTTAAGGATGAAGTTGAAAATCAACTCAGCAAACGCATTAAGATCGTCAGATCTGACCGTGGAGGTGAATATTACGGCAGAAATGATGGATCTGGTGAACAACGTCCGGGCCCATTTGCTGACTTCCTTAAGGAGTGTGGAATTGTCCCTCAGTACACTATGCCAGGTTCGCCTAGCATGAATGGTGTTGCTGAAAGACGTAATCGCACATTAAAGGATATGGTTCGAAGTATGATTTGCCAATCTACTTTACCACGATCCTTATGGGGGGAGGCACTAAAGACTGCAGTCTACATCCTTAATCGAGTACCAACTAAGGCGACTGCTAAAACACCCTATGAATTATGGACTGGGCGCAAGCCTAGCTTACGCCATTTTAGGGTGTGGGGTTGTCCAGCTGAGGCGAGGCCTTATAGGCCAAATGAACCAAAGCTAGCACCTCGTACGATGAACAGTCATTTCATTGGTTACTCGGAACGGTCAAAGGGGTATAAATTTTATGATCCCACATCAAGAAATATTTTTGAGACGGGCACTGCCACGTTCTTTGAGGATGTTGAGTTTGAGGGGAGAAATACAGTTTCTGACTTTACTTTTGAGGATCAAGAAATCACCAAAGTGGTTGACCCGATCCCTCAAGAGCAAATAGTCATTCAAGCTCCCATACAGTTTCAAGATACAATTGAGGAGCCTGTTCATTTTGAACTTGAACCTCAACATGTACCTATAGAGCAAACTCAACAAACTCAAGAACATACAGTTCAAGAGCCAACGCTTCTGCGTAGATCCAATAGAGAACGGAGAAATGCCATTCCAGATGATTATTTGGTATTTCTTCAAGAAAATGAGGATGTGGGTGGCTTGAATGAGGATGATCCGATCAACCTCAAACAAGTCATGAAGGATCCCAACTCAAATAAATGGATCAAAGCGATGCGTGAAGAGTATAAGTCGATGCAAGACAATAAGGTTTGGGAACTTGTCCCATTGCCAGAAGGTACAAAACCTGTTGGTTGCAAATGGATTTTTAAAACCAAACGGGATGCAAATGGTAATGTGGAGAGGTATAAAGCACGTCTTGTAGCTAAAGGCTATACTCAAAGGGAAGGGATTGACTATAAAGAGACTTTTTCTCCGGTTTCTTCGAAGGACTCTTTTAGAACAATCATGGCTCTAGTGGCACATTTTGACTTGGAGCTCCATCAGATGGATGTAAAGACGGCGTTTCTCAATGGTGACATTGATGAAACGATCTATATGGTACAACCAGAAAGCTTTGAGGTCGATGACCCGAAGAAATGGTTTGTAAATTAAGAAAATCCATCTATGGGCTCAAACAAGCGTCTCGACAGTGGTATCACAAATTTCATCAAGTAATTATATCGTATGGTTTTGAGATGAATGTTGTTGATGATTGTGTTTATCACAAGTTCAGTGGGAGTAAATTTATTTTTCTGGTTTTGTATGTGGACGACATTGTGCTTGCTACAAACGATATGTGCATGTTGCACGAAACTAAGAAATTTCTTTCGAGTAACTTCGAGATGAAAGATCTTGGTGAAGCATCTTTTGTATTAGGAATCCAGATACACCGAGAGCGATCTCGAGGTATTCTAGGATTATCACAAAAGAGCTATATCGATAAAGTACTTGAGAGATTTAGCATGCAGAACAGCAAACCAGGAAATACCCCTGTGGCTAAAGGAGACAAATTTAGCCTAAGTAAATGCCCAAAGGGAAATTTAAAAATCCAGGAAATGCAAAAGGTCCCTTACGCCTCGGCAGTTGGGAGCCTAATGTATGCTCAAGTATGTACGCGTCCGGATATTGCGTATATAGTTGGTATGTTAGGTAGATACCTTAGTAATCCTGGATTGGATCACTGGAAAGCAGCCAAAAGGGTGATGAGATACCTTAAGAGAACTAAGGATTATATGCTCACATATAGGAGGTCAGACCATTTGGAGATCGTTGGATATTCTGACTCTGATTTTGCTGGGTGCCAAGACAGTAGGAAATCTACGTCTGGGTACTTGTTTATGTTGGCTGGTGGTGCCATTTCCTGGCGTAGTGCTAAACAAACACTTGTTACCACTTCAACTATGGAAGCTGAGTTTGTGGCGTGTTTTGAGGCATCACACCAGGGAATCTGGTTAAGGAACTTTGTCACAAGGCTGCGAATCATTCCGGAGGTTGAAAGACCTATCAAGGTCTTTTGTGACAATAAATCAGCCGTTCTGTACTCCAACAACAATAGGAGCTCGTCTAAGTCAAAACATATTGACATTAAGTTCCTAGCTGTGAAGGAGAGGGTACAAAGTGGTCAAATTTCCATCGAACACTTAGGGACAAAATCTATGTTAGCAGATCCCCTAACTAAAGGTGTAACACCTATGGTATTTCACGAGCATACTGCTCATATAGGTGTGTTACATATTCAGGAAGCTTCACTCTAGTGGGAGCATTTGCTACTTTTTGTCATGTTGTTCGATGATATGTAAAGTACTTATTCTGATCAGAAATAAAGTTTTGGTTCATGACACTTTGTACATTATGTTTCGGTATTTAACGATCTCATTAAGTTTGGACTAGTTGAAAATTGACATGTGCTGATCACATTCATGTAATTTTCATGCCACATGTTCCACAGTTTGATCTATGTCATTTAGTCATGATGGTATATGTGATTATTGATAGTTTAGTTGTGTCTATACGGCGAAAACTGCATTAGTCCTATATTGTTGTGATTAATGGACCAGATTGTTCAAGTTCTGTAATAATGGCCATATTTTGAGCTCATAAGGTATAATGTATCATCAGGACACATATTTAATCCAGTGGGAGATTGTTAGATCTATTTTGGGATTAAACATGTGTAATTGATACATTGGGTCATTATATTGTTTAACCAAATTAAGCGATCAAATTATTGTACAATGCTAAGGAACTTAATTTAGATTGTGGAATGATTAAATGTGGACACCCGGTAATATTATTATTTGGTGACGTAAAAAATAATAATATTACACTTAAGGACCTAATTAGCAAATAATTTAGGTCAAAATAATTAATGGGTGGAGTCCCCAAAAGCCGTGAAAATACAAAGGGGCCCTTGGGATTCTTTATTAGGTTTACGAAAGAAACCGTCGCCCCACTACGTTCTTCATATAGTTTTCTCTTACGTCAGAGGAGAAGAGATCTGGTTCACGGCCTTTTGGAAGAACTCCAAATCCAATCCCAAAATCCCAATTCAATTCCAGTGAGATCAATTAACATGAATCCATCAGGTACGCTTCCGCTCTTCGGTATGATTCTCGATTGTTCAATATGAATGCTCCTGAGATTAAATCGATTTATTTCGAATAAAGATAAATCCAATTCTATCAGATATACTATCCCTGAGGATGTATATACTTTGTCTTTAGCGGTGAAAGAAAACTTCGATTAGGAGACAGAAAAAGATAGTTTACAAGCTCTTTACATCACATATGACTATAGCGGAGTTCCTGTGTGTGAGAATCAGCAGAGCGCAAACATTAAAGGAAGCTCGAGATACTCATGATGTTAGTGCGGCAACAAGGTATGCATTCTAAAATTATAAACTCTAAGATGAGATTGAAATCTTTAATTAAGGAAATCTGTAAAAACATAAGAAAAACGGCAAGCTTATAAACGAAAACATTAATTTCCTTACAACTTTCGTTTCATGTGTCTTAATATGTACTTATATTTAATTTGCTCGTTGTTGATATCACGCTGTTGGCATGCACATAAATCCCCGATAAACCCCTGGAATTTCTCAAACAATGGAATCAAATCGGCATCCAATTTTTAGCATCTCTGCATTTATTCAAAACGGCTTTTATGAATCATTCAATATGAATGTGTGTGATTGTTTGCCCCAATAAAAACTCTATCAACTTGACATTTAACTACTTTTCAAATTATAACAGACTTGCTACAAAAACTTAAAAATACTACACACTGCACTCTCAAATTAAAATACTTGAACATAGATCCCATCCCATCACTATCCAACTCAAAGGGCCAATTTTTGTAAAACTCAAAAAAACCTTAGCTTGTTAATCACATAATAGTATTAAAAAAAATGAGATAAAGAAATTAGGAAAAATTACTCCACAACTTGTAAATTTAAGACAGAGGCTTATATCTGCACAGAACCTTACACTTAACCACACTATCCAACACATAAAAACCCGGCATCACCATAACCTTGATCCGGCAATGCCCCTCAGACCTCTGCCTCTCGGCAAAAACATCCTCCATATACCTTCCCTCAAAAACCGCATTCTCATCCACTCTCAAAATACCCAATGGCTCCCTAAACGAGAAGGCGAGCAAATGCAACAGCCACACGCACTTTGCCGCCACAAAAAACGCCTGGAGCAGCTGCTCCGCCCACGGCCTAGTGCACCCCAACCCCTTAACCACACCACTCATCTTCTCATCACAAAATTTGCTAAACTCGTCGCTATAGAATTTTGTCCCCTTCCTCAAGACCTCGTCCCAGCTCAAATTCCTCAAGTCCACAAATGACTGGAATCGAGCTTGCCGGTCTTGGGAAGGGTCCAGAAGCTTGGGGGCCCCGTTTTTCCGGAAAACTCGGTTTTCGAAGTCTTGGTAGAGTGATTGGTTGATGAAAGCCTCTATGTGGTACGAAACTGTTCTCGAGTATTTGGAGTCGAGTGAGAGGTTGTAAGGTTGAAGGATGGAGTTGAGGTTTTCGACTAGGGAGGGGTCGTGATTATGGTCGATTTGGGCAGTTAGAGTCTTGCAGAATTGTTTTACGGATAGTCTCGACTCGGATACTATTTGCAGGAAGCCTTCGACCATTACTTGCTCGTCCACGGGCAAGATGGGATTTTCGAGTGGTCTGTCGTTCGGGTTTCGTCTTCTCAGTGGATTCGTGGGTTTTTCATTGGCGGGGTGTGATTTTTTGACCTGCACAGAG